TTTATTTATACTGTGGTGTGGCACTGACAGTGCGCTAGAGGACAAGCCAGTGCAAGCTTAAGGAAATGCTTAGGTGTTCCCTCCTGTTTGTATTGTTTCTACGAGCCTTCCTAGTCACATGTGTTTGCAAAAGATGAGACAAGATTTAGCTGAGCGTGTGAAAGTTACCAAAACTGTTGCTGATATTACAAAGCTTTCAAAAAGCTTGGTGCTATCAGTGCCACATCATCATGCAGCTTTACTGCGTGATTAGCTTTTCCTCCTGTTGACCCAAAGCTCAGGTGAACAGAGCAATCACTGTAATGACAGATCCTGCATTGCTGCTGTCAGTGATGCAGTGTAAACCTGCGCAGTTTACCCAATCTCCAGCTGTCGCTTTCTGGCAGTGTTTATTTCTCTGTATCTCTCCCCCTCCCTCCCTCTGCAGCCGTCTCTTAGCATACAGACAGGGCTGTGCATTGAGCACCAGCTTTAGATTACAAAGCGCAGATCTGCCTGGGTACACATGGCAGTGAGCTGTCAAACAAGACATGTGGATTTCTCCCAGGCACAATGGGTTTGTTAAGCCAACGCTTAGGTAAACAGATGGAGAGGAAAGGACAACCAAGGTGGAAGATGTAACAGGAGAAGAGTGGTGCTAAAAAGTCACAGTCTATGATTTCAATATTTATGTTCGCTGCAGCTCCGGTTGCTGCTTTTGGAGACATGCGTACGGCACTGCTGATCAGGTCGCACCCCCCACTTTGGCCAGGTGGAATGATATACTAATGGATGGTCACGGCATGTGGTGCAGACATTCATATTACAAAAAGACTGACACCTAAAAGAATCCGCCCCACCTTGTTATCTAGTGTAACCAACAGGTGTAAATCCATCCATAATTATTTATTAGATGGATTGGTACCAGATTTTGAACAGGTTTATAGTTTGGCACCCCAGACGGCACAGCTGCATCACAGTAAGAAGGTCCTGGGTACGAGTCAGTTTCAGTTTTCAGGCCCCTCTTCTGTGGAACCAGCTTCCAGTTTGGATTCGGGAAACAGACACTATCTCTACTTTTAAGTTGTGGCTTAAAACTTTCCTTTTTGCTAAAGCATAGAATTAGGGCTGGATCAGGTGACCCTGAATCCTCCCTTACTTATGCAGCAATAGGTGTAGGCTGCTGGGGGATTCCCATGATGCATCGAGTATTTCTTCTTCAGTCACCTTTCTCATTCACCATGTAGACCTCTCTGCATTGAATCATACTTGTTATGAATCACAGCATGTCTTTTATCTCGTCTTCCTTCTCTCACCCCAAAGGGTTGCAGCTGATGACCGCCCCTCCCTGAGCCTGGTTCTGCTGGAGGTTTCTTCCTGTTAAAAGGGAGTTTTTCCTTCCCACTGTCACCAACGTGCTTGCTCATAGGGGGTCATATGATTGTTGAGTTTTTCTCTGTATGTATTATTGTAAAATTTAAATTGAGTCCAGCCTAGGGTCTTTTCTGTGTAGGTTTTTCACGTTCTCCTCATATCTGCAGTGGTTCTCCCCGGATACTCCGGCTTCCTCCCACAGTCCAAAGACATGGAATTAGCAGGGTTAGGTTCATTTGTAAATTCTAAAAACCGTGAATGTTCCTGTGAATGGCCTCTGTGTTAGCCCTGCCGCAGGTTGGCGATCTATCCAGGATGTTCCCTGGATAGGCTAAAAAGCATGGTTGGGCTTTGAAAGCTTTAATTTATAAATCCAGACTCTTTTGAATTGCCATTTATGTCACCCACAGGATGGACTATAATAACTAAAGTACAAAATTTCAACTTTTGACCAAATACCAACAGATATACACACACCGACTTTGCTCGTCAATGTTCTGAACCAACAGATTGTGACGATGGTAAACATTATCTCAATGATAACATGGTACCCTTGTCATAAGCCATTTCATCCACATTCTGCACAATGTTAAGATGTTTCTCCCAAGTAGCGCACAACATCCACTCCTCCACCTCACTACTGGGATAAGAAAATAATAATTTGGTTAGCTGAGCTGAGGAAGCTGCCTACGTAGATCAGGAGCAGGTCGGAGACACCAGTGACTATGGAAGACAGACTATTACCTGAGCTTTTCTCACCTCTGTGCATCCCTGCATTACATGGACTTTGTACTGGCAGGTTAAACACAGTTTACTGTTTGATCTGAACACGTCAGGCTTACGTCCTAATGTGCACCTTTGTTGCGCAATGTCTAGAAAAGTGCAGGGCTCTGCTGATTGCATGACAAGGCACTATATCATTATTTCTGTCTTTTCACAACCCTTTGCGACCAAGTTGTAGTTCTGTCTGACTAATGGACAAAAATCAGCCTAGGTTTGCTTTGTCTCTTAACTTTGTTTTAGGCCGATTTACGATACTTTCAATATTGATAAAAGTGAAGCCCTGCACGCCAGGTGTCTATGCAGCGCTGACATATGGGAAAGCAAAAATCTAAACCTCCCCCTCTGGCAGGGAGAGACATTCAGGCTTAGAGGGCCTGAGGAAGTATTGCTCACTAAGCATAGTGATTTGGAGGGAAGGGGAAGCACTCTCTAAAGCATATTCCATGATTTATTCACGACTTTACTCTGATCTGAATTGCATCAGAGCAGTGACTCAACCATTATGTGGACAGGGCATTTACTCCAAGGCTCAGAGGCCATCTCAGTGACTGGCTTTTGTTTGTCTGCTTGTGTGCGTCTGTGTCTGTGTGCAGTTTACATCTGGAAGCTCTGTTTTAAACAAATTCACATATAAGGTCAAGTGGTAACATCATTATTATCATGTTAACACAATTTATGGTTTCGGGTGTCAACTTCATCTTCTGGAAAAGCTTCTATGGGCGGAGATGGAATATACAAGCTGGGGAGGATCTGTCAAACTTGAGTCATGCTGAATCATTTTTGACTATGATGATTCCCAGAAATGCCTAGCTTTGCTCCAGTTAGGAGTTACAAAAGCTAAATTGACGGTGATGAAGAAAAATGCTGCTACTGTGACCTGACTGAGTTCATCTGGAATATCCCTACTGTGAAAGACAACCACAAGTGCGATAGGGAAAAGTGGGGAATGTTTATGACAGTTAGGTCACTGGCGATAGCACAGAAACTGAGCACTTGTTTACGTGAGGGAAAATCCCAGCCGCCATCCTTTACTTCATTAAAGTCACTGATTAACCACACCGTACTGGCTGTACTTGTGATAATCGCACTCCACAGAAGTGTTATATGTTGAACCCACTGGCAAAGTGTCCTTGCTTGCTTCCCAACTCCACAATAAAGCTGACCTGCTCTTGTCACAGAGATCACTAGGGGGTGGGAGAGGGATTTTGATGTAGTTACACTGAGCATAGACTCAATAAATGGAAGTCTTTATGGCAGGTTATTATAGGGCGCTTGATACCACTTTGAGGAAGGTCAATGGGCAGGTTTAAATTTAAAGTGTGCGGAGCCAGCTGTAATCACTCTACTCGATCGTGGTACAGTAATTGCAGACCAGGGAGCTCATCTCGATGAACAAACATTAGCCTCTGGAGGTTATCAGAGTGTCCGGATTAAGTGGAAGTTGTCTGATGCGACGATGGGAAAGGGCGGAAAAAATAAAATAAAATTGGGAGCCCTGCTTGATAACCACAGCAACGAGAAGTGAATGCACATGCCATTAATCCAGTGAATTAATCTCGGCCACAGTACACCAGCTGGGTGTAAAACCATAAAAGATAAATATGTTAGGTAATCAAAACTGAAGTTACATGTAAACCAATTGCAATGAGAAAGCCATCCAGGCAAAAGCAAGGAAGTATGGACGGACAGTCGTAAGCTAGAAAAGAAACAGACGCTTCTAGGTTGCAAAAAACATCACTGCAACTACAACTATTTGTCAGGAAGTGTGTGAAATTGTCAACTACGCAGCAAATGTTTTTTTTAAATGGCGAAACCAGTTCATAGTTTTGAAAACGAAGATTTTTAGTTTTCTCATTTACTGAACTGTTCATATCATGTGTGTATTGCAAGCAGCAACACATCCTGAAAGTGATAAAACCTGCAGTTCTACTAGTGGCCACTTGGACTCCAAGACAGCGAGTCGATTCCCTTAAAGCTCCTTATTAAAAGCCCCAACAGCTTGTACATAAAAATAAATTTGGTCTTTGAGTTTAAAATGCCAAACTGTAGACTTCTTCAAGGTATTCACGCAAGCTTTAGGTGAGGTTGCTGTGGGTAGAAGGCCATCTTTTTATGGCATGCATACAGCTGAAACAGCAGTATGTGGGTATGTAGATCTGCTTACAACTGCAGTACTTAACAGAAAAATGCTTGGGTTAAACTTGTAAACAAGCAGCAGACTTCTGGTTTGGACAGCCTGGAGTTACAGTAAAGTGAATATAGTGAGGGTAGAACTCAATCTCAATCCTGACTTCTTATTTTCCTCTTGCCTGCTCAAACTCGCCAGGTTATACTGACCAAGCTTAATGTGTTTTCTAAACGAGCTGACACTGTGAACGTTTTCAAAGAACTCACCGGACCATTTCATGACTGAATTAATGAATGAAGTGCTTCCTGGAGGGGGCATGTCAAATAACAGTGAACCCATAACAGTGAACCCTGCAGGCTGCACATTAGAAACACCGGCTGCTAACGACCTGCGACTTAAAAAAACAACTAAAACAATAAACCCCCCACACCTGTGTGACCTGCACCTGTCAGTGAACGGAGCTGAACTACCACAGCTTCATGTCCTTTCTCAACATGTGCCTGCTCTGATCAGGAGCTCAAACAGCTGCTGCAGTTTTTTTTCTTTTTGCATATATAACAATGGTTTCATGTCCTGAAGGCAAATAGTGGATGAACATATAAGCAAATATGCTACACTCTAAAATACCATTCACATTCACGTTTCCACTTTGTCGTGTTAAATGAATACTGATGTGTTTAGCCGGTGTCTATTTCTTCAGTTTCCCCCATGAAACCTACACTGATGTCACACTTACCTGAGTCACAAGTCCCCGAGCATGGTTTTCTACTTTTCTCAACCGGTTTCCACGCCAAAACACTGCGACCGAGAACTACTTCTACCTGCCTGTGCTTCTGAAAGAGCTGCGATGACAGTAACGTGACTTGTTTCTCCATATTATCGATCCTGGGTGTCACTCGTTACGCCGCTGGATGCTCCTCATTGCAACTTTATTATCGCCCGCGCGTGCCAAGTGTCTGCGCTGTTTGCAGTGGTTACGCCGGTCGGCCTGAGCCGTCAGGGAAAGGGAGGGGGGGACTTAGGATGAAGATCGTGTATGAGAAAGATGACTCACTCAGTAATAAAAATCAACCTGGTCTAATAATAATAATAAACTTTATTTATAAAGCACACTTAAAACCAAGGGTATACCAAAGTGCTTAACAAGTAACATAGAAAATAAAAGGAAGATAATAGAAATACAAAAATATGACCATAATATGAAAAAAATAAATTTAGAGCCTTTTTGGGAAAACTTTGTTGACTGCATTTACATGTAGGGGATTTTCACATTCTTCTCTAAAGAGGTATGTGCCATCCTGCCTAGACCTCATGCCCCTCCTTTGCCCCCATGTAAAATTTTAATGATCCACCACTGATTAAGACTCACAATGTAAATAAAATAAAGGGAAAATTAGGGCAGAGTGAGACCTCTTACCTTTAAGGCTACCAATTTCCAAAGAAAGTATCTACAAGGGTAAGCGCGTGTACGGAAGATCAGGGCCACTGGAAAAATAAAAACAGGTCTGAATTCTGAGAATAAAAAGGTCTGACTTCTGAGAAAAAAAGTCTAATTTCGGAGAAAAATTGATTAATCTTAGAATTCTGACTTTTTACTCAGAATTGTGAAAATAAAAAACAAAAGAACATTTGTTTTTCCCTGTTCTGTACATATGAGCACACTGACTCTGACTTAAAGCATTTGCCTTTTAACAAAACACACTCTAGAAGCAAGTCTCACCACTAGATAGATAGATAGATAGATAGATAGAAACAAACAGCAAATACAAACTAAACTTTATGCAGGTTGCTTTCATCGGCACTAGCTGTAGATATGTACACGTAACAATAATAGTGGGTTATTTTTCTGATGAGCGGAGCTAGAACTTAGCAGAACAGAAAGGCCAAACATGTTGTTTACCGAGTCGAGTCATCCTCATATTCACATAGTTACTCCACAATGATAATCCATTTGCTGTAATACTGTAATATTAACTATTACTTTATACAGCCAGTTTATTAAACGTTTAGTTGATATGTGGCTTCCAGGACAGTTTATTATAGCCTCAAAAAAGCATCATTCAAGTTTAATTTCCAAATTCCAAAGCACATAAAACCTGTATTAATAGAATCACCTGTCAGTTCACCAAGTTCATAAAATAAGTTTGAAAAGCCTAAAATAAACCTGACTTTATTTTATACATAGTGAGAACCAACATTCAATATACGGCATCACACAAACTACAGATTTATATTCCAAAAATTGTATGAGAACTGATCTATTTAAAGATTGAAAAACAATGTATACATATTATATGAACATTTCTAAATATCCAAAAAAAAAACCTCTTATGATCCTGTCCATGTATTTTCGTTGGTGATGCTGTATGCCTGCCCTCTGGTCCTGATGCTGGAGGGTCTCTTTGATTCACAGTCTGAGTTTCTGTCAACACAGCAAAGGCCGTGGAGCATGACGTCAGCGTCCAATTAAAAAAATGCTCCTACCGACAACCAGATCTCACTTGTGATTGGCTTACAGTGAGGAAGTGTCACCCCAGCCAATCACAGTCGCGTTTACTTGCCGATTAGGCAGTATCAACATGGCAGCTTTCTGAGTTTTGGAGGAGGAGAGCTGGTGTAAATAAACAGACATTTAATATTTTCGAGATAACGACAGCGTCGGGGTGTTTGAGTTTAGGACTGAGTGGACCGCTGCGGGAAGATGTCGAGCGACGGAAACAAAAAACAGTTCTGGAAAAGGAATGCAGCGAAGGTTCCTGGCAGGTGAGTGACGTGTTCCCTCCTGCTTGTTAGCTTAGCGTAGCTAGCTTCACTCAGCTGACGCTGCGCTGCTGCTCTTCAAACGCCAACTTTCACTTTGATTGGTGGGGCTTTGCGGTTGGACAAAGTTCCCATTCTTGTCACTGGCTAACGTCTGTGGTAAAAACGTCTCGTAGACGCATTTTACCCCTTGCAACTGTTAGCTAGGCTAAGAGCTAGGCTGCTAACAGTGGCTAATAGTTCATCAGTACTCCGTCGCAGAGTTGTAACTAATGACACAGTAACTATTTCACAACACGAGTAGTCAAGGTCTCACGGCAAATTATTGCACTTGGGGTCACATGGAGTCTCACTCCTGCAGTTTAAACTGGTATTGTTTTAAATAGCTTAAAGCTAACATGCTAGCTTGCCAGCCAGTGATCGATTAGTTCATTCATTTCCATTCTATCTTTTTCACTTCCTCAGCATTCAGCATGTGTACGGTGCACAGCATCCACCCTTCGACCCGCTCCTTCATGCAAAGTAAGTTAAACTGACTTCCTTGTTGTAAAAATAAATACCATGTGATCTTGGTGGAGTTCTCTGGCCCAATGTCAGTTTTTGTGTCATGTGATAAACTAGACTTCAAAGCCCAATTGATGTCGACCCGGTACTTTGCTTCAGATTAAAAAAAGTGATGTACTGTTGAGTGGAGAAAAAAAACTGTCCCTACCATGGGAAATTATTATTGTTTTGTGTTAATAATGGTTGGTTTTGGAAAAAAGTTATTATCCATTTATATTAGGTCATTCTCTTTGAATGGGATGTAACTGTATACTTGTTTTTTTTTTTTTGCTTGAGTTGTGTTGTTGTCACTAGCAGAAATCATTTGCCTTATGCTGAAGGTTTAAAATCAATGATCTGTCTCAGTTGTTCCATCTGTATCAGATGCTGAAACCAGTGTTTTATTGATGCTTACCACTTTGGGGGGGTTTACTTAATGAAATCATGAAAAAATACCTAAATGTCTTTCATCTCTTTTTTCACACTACTTTTAAACATTTTGCCAGCACAAAATTAATTTGACATAAAAAAAGAAAAAAGATTCTGCCTCTGCTGTCTCTGTTCTGTTCACTCTGTCTATACTGGAGCTGTCGGTCAGTGTGTCTGTTTGGTGGACGATACACACGGCAGATGGGGTGAACCCTGCTGTTAGGTTACATTCACATCAAATCTGGTTGTCTGGCACCTTCCTGAAGGATTACATGGAGGTGTGGCTCTGTTTGTGTGATAACACAAAATTACTGTGGGGATTAATTTATTTCTCTAGTTTACTTCTTTGTTTTGGTTAATGCCCCCCTGCAAATACCACGGACCATCATTGCCTTCTCCCACAGTAACCAGCACTTTCTGCTTTATGTCATAAGCAGATTATTTTGTTTGTTTTTTATCAGTTTTTGTGAGATAACTGATAAATGGCTCAAATGCTATAAGTAGGCTACTTGACCAATTTGACCAATTTGAAATGTTCATTATTGCACCTTCAGTTTACCAGACCTTGTGAAAACGCAATCCTGTGAGCAGCAATGTTTTTTGTGGGGAAAATAATTTATGTACACTTAAAAAGGCGGCTAATTTCAGCTTATTTAAAGGTAAGCCTGTTTTATCCAATGTGTTGGTGCTGAGATAGATTTCTTCTACCTCAGTTTGTCACGGCACAAAACGCTCAGGTGTGGCTGAACGGTTGCTGTATTTTTAGCCACATCCCAGTGAAGAATGTGGACGTATATGTTTTTCCATTACACAACTGACGAATGAACATACCGTCTGTGATATCATGGGCTGGGTTGAGCCTATTATTACTTACAGTTACTTCAATGTGTGTAATGTCGAGTCTTCCAGTTATAATTCTGGTAATCTTCTGTTTTGCACTTTGAAACTGCAGAACTGGAATGATCACAGAGGCAGTGACTCTACAGGAAAGTCCAGTCATTTTGTGACTGGGTAAACAAGTTGAACAAAGTTGAGCAATTCTAAGCCTTGATTATACTTTCTGTATCTGCATGTCCACTAAGGCTCCAAGTGATGTAAATTTCATCATTAGATGGTGGGCACAAGGGTCTGTGTGCACGTCTGCGTGCCTGTCTGTTAATTGTGATTGTCTGCAGAGAGTTGTCATTACAGTGCTCCAACTATACATGCTCATGTGTGGTTGGAGCATAGCAGCTCTCCGTGTCCATGTCTGCAATGGAGTATAATCAAGACATTAAATAGTGATGAAACGGTTGATTCTAATATAAGTTGTATTGGTACCAAAACTGGTATTGGTATTGGATCAATACTGGTGAGATACCTTGTTTCTGTCCTCAAGGTTCAGTATGTATCCCACTGAACTGTTTTTAAAAAGATTATTTTTATTGGAAATGGGGGAAAATATATCTCAAAAAGCACTAGTGCTGGGCGATATGACGATATATATCGTGTGGAGGATAGAAAAGTGTCCATCTTGCCATTTATCTTCTATCGTTTCTAACCCAAATTTTAGAAATTATTACATAAAATATATAATTAACCCTTTACAACCGGTTGGAGCAGGCACACTCCGTTTTACCGAACTATTTTTAAATCCCTGTAGAACTGGAACCACGTAAGGTAGTGCAATATTTTTTTTGCATGTGAAACTGGAGGAGTTGTACTTACATCTTATGCCATTAGCTTGTCCTAGGTCACGGTTTCCTTCCACATATAGCTTTGCAAAAACTGCATAAGAAGAAAAAGGAAAAAGCAAAAACATAATATTCCAGAAACAAGCTTTGCCGATGTTCATAACACTTCCTACGTTGGCATATACGCCAACGCGAACTATTACATGTCCGCCATTACCTGCTCGAAACTGGAAGTGACGTCATTTTCGTGAAAGGGCCTTATAAGCCTATGTTGGTGTTTTTAAAAGTCATGTTTGACTTTATGCTTTTCTGTATCGTTTCTGGGATGCTTAGAACTCAAATTGCACTGCTGGAAATAGTTTATTTGGATGCATTATAATATTTATTTTCATTTTTCCTGTAGTATATAAAAATTAAAATCTCAAAAAATCTCAAAAATAAAACTATGAAGACACTCAAAGTAAATTTCTTGT